GGGGGGATACATATGGGGGGGATACATATGGGGGGGATACATATGGGGGGGATATATATGGGTATACAGTGGGAACTACTGCTCAGAGTCTCTGCCTCACACTTTCATAAGCAATGGCAAACAAAAACTATTTTCAGGTAAAAAATTCTTTTGTTACAGGAAAAGACCAGTCTCTTAAACGGATGTGCACTAGGATTTAGATTTACTACAACCTCCTAAAGAGATGCTGAAAAGTATCCTTCTAGACTGCGGTAATTCCTTGAAACCAATAAAGGAGGAAGAAAGCATTCTAATCTTGAAAACAAATACAATCTTCTTTCCAAACACACCTCACTTATTTTAGCAATTCAAATCTTAACAGTGGACTAATGAATCAGTGCCTTAAAGATTACGGTTTAAAGGCAGCAATGACTACTTTGTAACTTGTTATCTTAAACACAAAGAAAGAAGAACTGACTTATTTCCAGAAGCAGTTCTGTGGAGGACCAGGCATAACCACGTTTCGTCTCAAACATTGTGACGGTTATAACAGAAAAAGTGTGATTGGAAGAGAGGGCCCCATGGAGGTGGGGCAGCGCTGTTCTGAGCCACTTTCCTGCTCTACCTGAGACTTGTGCTCAGTCCCTCGCCTCAAGTCACTCCCCGGAGAAGGGCTTAAAGGGCTGGTTGTGCATGCATGAACAAAATGGCAGGAAAGGTCTAGTTTGCATAAGAGCCTGCACAAAGTTAACTATAAAAGGAGGTAGACTGGCCCCTGTCACTCTCTCATTTTGTCTTGCTATCCCAGCTCCAGACCATCCACACAGCAGGACCAACATAGAATTTACAGACAAGTGAATTTCTTTTTTCTCTCTCTTTTCCACCTTTATTTCTCTCCTCCCTTGCTTTGCATGGGAAAAGTACAGTTATCATATTCTACCCCATACTGAAGTTTGTTGTGGGAGTGGTGAGTTGTGGAAGTGTGTTGTGGGTCGGTAGCCAGCACCTCTGAGAACTGAAATGGTGTGTTGTGGTTTGTGAGCCAGCACGTTTGAGAAGTTTGCTGTGGGAGGTGAGAGCTTATTGAAGTGTACTGTACAAAATTAGGGGCTTGTTAGCCACCACTTTTAAGAAAAGTATTGTAAGAGTTTAAGGGCTTGTTAGCCAACACCTTTTGAGTCGAAGCAGTGGGCTGGTTGCCAGAATTAAGGCAACTGTACAATGAAGCACAAGAGCTCTCTGACACACGACCTGGTGTCTTTGTTCAGCCCAACGAGGATAAACAGTAAACATCACAGCCCCTACTGATGGATCATGACAAGCTCAAGCAGAAGTTGTTTCTTTTAGTTGGTATTTTTTTAGTGTTTAAGTGTCCTGTAGAGGAGGTAAACCTGTCAAAGGGAGAAAAGAATGAAGGAGAGGAAAAAGCTGAATAGGAGGCTTAAGTCAAATACAGGGTCATGTAATAAAAGTAGTGAATTTAACAATAAATGAAGAAGTGAGTAGGAAAGGTAGAGTTCATATATACCAAATAGTTACTGCTAAAGGGCTACTCAACCACAAGAAATCAATTTGTATACTAATAGATCAGCAGAAACATACAAACATCACTACACAGTGCACAACTGATAAATTCCAGCTCTTAAGAGTCTCATTCTAGTTCTTAAAAAAGTCTATTCTAACCTAACTTGAGTATCTCCCCAACCAGAACAGGTCATAATGAAAGAAGCCAGATTAAGAGTAAGATTCTGGAACTGTAGCTGTTTTACCACAATAATGTATGTACATATTAACATTATACATTAAAATGCATACACTGTATGACCCTTGGGCCTCACATAGAAAAAATTATAAACTATTTTGTTACGCAAGTCTTGAAGTTGCCACAAGCATCATTAAAAGGAACATTCTTGTATAATTTCATCCATGAGGGAAATATTAATTCAACACAATGAAAAGGTTAAGTCAAAACAGTCAAACACTTACTATTAACATTAGAAGTACTCCTGAAAGTTGCTGTATAAACCCAGAGAAACCCACACAGTCCTCCTGTACTGGTATATAAGGTTACCATTGATACACAAAACATCGGGCATAGGGGATGTCTTGCTGCTCACAAGACAACAGTAGGTCAACAATGGAATGCTACCACAAGGAATTCAAACACAATTTTACGATACAGCCAGAGAGATTACCACAACCATACCTGCCAAGAGTAACTGCTCAAACTGTAATACATACAAAATTCAAGTAACCCCATTCAAGAAGGCTAAAGTTGAACTACAACAGATGCAAAACAGAGAGGAAATTAAGTATGTTTCATTTAGGATAACAAAACAAAGACTAGGCATAGGCTTAATGACTGCTTTCAAAGCACAGAACTAGTAAGTGCCAGAGAAAAACTCTAAGGTTTACATTTCAAAAGGGCAAGGATGGTATGCCTCAAGCAAGTACAACCTACCTAACTGTTAGAATAAAGTCCTGCCACTGCTTTAAATAGGAGAAACAGAAAAAGTGCAAAACCCAACTAAATCCTACAGTTTGATGCAGTGCTTTTAAAAGACTGGATCTTGTGACCAAATCCTTTCCAATTTGGAAACAAGTTTAAAAGACCTGAAAGTTATACTGGAAAAAACCAAACCAGGGAGAACCATATTAAAAGAACCCACTAGTTCTACCAGCTAATAAATGTATTTTTATCTTAATGATGATGCAAACTCCAGTGTTGATTTTCACTATGATTCCTTCCATCTGCTTTTTATTGCAAAGATACTACAGGCTTTCACACCACTAATGTAAGAGGACAACTCAAAAAGTTAACTTCATATTCAGAGTTCTTTAAGCACTAGTAGTAAATTACAGACATGTTTTACTATACTGGTTCTTTAGTGACTTTAAATTACACAAAAAGTTACTTCAAGCTTTTTGATCAGCTGGAAATAAACAGCTATAAGATTGAGCTATTGTATTACCAATACAGTAAGTGTTGCCACTGAACAGTACCTTTTGACAGTTGAAATGGGTTTAAATGGTAGTCAAGTTTACTAAGTTACATATAATAAAAACGGTTTTACCAAAACTGATCAGATTAAAAAAGTTCTCTTGCTCTACATCAAGAAATTAGTGCTCTAAAAAAATCACTATCTTGCAACGTATTTCTAAGTATGCTTTGTAGTAAACTGGCTTTAGTTAGAAGAATTCTTGAACTATTTTTAAGTTTCACCAGACATATAGAATAAGTTCAAGAAACGTTAAAACAAAATGAGTTTTAATCTGATATAATGCACAATAACCCTCAGAACTGTATCCAATGTTGCTATTTCAAACCATAACTTGTATGTTTTTAAAATTTTAACTACTCTCAAAGTAAATATTTTACTGAGTAAGGACAGTGACAGGAGTATTTTTCAGAAGTTTATGATGTTTGTAATGATTTTTAGATTTCTCATCTAAAGCCATGCATTTCTGTTTCCACATACCTTTCACTTTATAAGACCATATTATACTATGAAAAAAGTTCTGTTCTACTGCAGCAACAAGAAATTAACTGGAGTCCTAAAATTCCTTTAGTGATAAAAAGTAAATAACTGAATTTCATCGTGAAATACTTTGGTTATGAAAACAGTAATTTACCAAGAAGTTTAAAGTATCCAAAAGCAAACTATGACATTACAAGAGTAGCTCTGATGAAAGACTGAGAAAAGCAGAACAAGAATACATTAACAAAACATCCAAATTTACCATGTTTGCAAGTGAAAGAAACATTACAAAACATTGCAAATAAAACGTGTCCACCAAAAGTGATGTGCAAATACTAATGGATAAAGAGGAAAACTGTTTGGAGCAGGAGTAAGGGCATTAAATTACATGCAGTCTGCAGAATTGCTGGAGTTTCTCTGTAAATACATGATGTCAGATTCACATTTAATTTGTTGTTCCTCTACTTATTGGCCAACAAAGGAATCTACTAAGATGACTGTCAGGTGTATCCTTGAAGTAGCTGTAAATCATCAGACTTTGCAAACACAGATTTAGCCTTGAGAACAGTGACAGCAATTAAACACTGGTTTTATTCAATATGGCCAACATATACAGTTACATCTATCACTAACTGCTTTTATCTATTTCGATGAAATCATACAAGAGTATTCAACATTTCCATTAAAGAAATCAAAGTATTATATATAAGAAAGGAAAAATTTGATTAGTTTTTCATCCCAAATCCTTTAAAAAATATTAACTTACCAGTTTAATTGCCACATAGTCATTTGTGTATAAATTTTTTCCTTGAAAAAAGAATAAAAACAAGAATGTGAGACATTGGCTTTTCTGTTAAAGTAAAATGCCATTTAAACATCAAGAAAGTCTTTGAAACATTTTCATCTAAGGTGCTAGGTGTTCTGGTAGTGACTTAAGAAATGTAGCTTTATTAGTCTAATACCATAGAGAGAACTTTTTTCTTGAATAGTGTAAGAAGTGGCCATTTCACTGAGAGTTTCAGCTATTAGTTAGTAAAATTTTTGTGTATTAAAAAAAGCTTGAAAATTGATAAATTACTATAAATGGAATGTGATATTCCACGTTTTCATTTTTATTGCTATTTGAAACTTACTTTAATATTGTCATATGATTTTGAAACACCGAAGTTCAAATTAATTAGGACTTTTCCTTTCCTCAGTTCTGTAATTTACTGAGCTAGAAGTTAGGACAGGACAAGAACATTACTGATATGCTTACTCCATTTGGAAAATGCATTTGCTGCTTTAAAAATGATTCTGTAACTAGATAAGCATATTTCAACAAGCACTAATTCAAATGGTATGCAAAGATTAAAATGCAATAACAAGCTTTATAGGTGTAAAATTAAAAACAGTAAATAAAGGAAAAAGTAAGGTGTCACTTCCAGCACTTTTTGTTTCTTTACAGCCTTCAAATGCATTTAGTATGTATTATTTTTAATGACAATTCTACCTTTTTTCTCTGTAATATTACTCAGGTCTGAATTTGCCATGTTAAGCTCAATTTTGTTAAATAAATCAAAGAGGGAAGAGACATGGACCAAGACAAAAAAGTTCCTTGTAAAGACAGTTACACAGAATCACAGTCACAGAATTTCTGAGCTGGAATGGACCCACAAGGATTATCAAGTCCACCTCTTACATTAATGGTCCGCATAGGGATTGAACCTGCCTTGGTGTTAATCAGCACCGTCCTCTAATCGAGTTACACTGACAGTCAAAAACTACGATTTCAGGTCTGACTCTTATTTTAAAAAACAGAGTACTCCTGTAAAGCTGAAACAAGATACAATAAAATCACGCCTGTTAAGAGATCAACTTTACCAAAAGCAAGTTACCTGAGGGCTGCACAGTAACAGACATATAATCAATATGAGCAGTATGCCTTAACTGGACCACCAATATGGTGTGTAATTCCAAGACCTTTCCAGGGACTAGAGTGGAAATACAGGCATCTTAAATGGTTATCTCTTATCTCATGATCATTTCAGCTACATATTTGTTAAAAAGCATACTTTGTTTGAAGTGGCTTCTGTGTCTCTGCATGGTATTACACTCCATAAGACACTCAGAAACCCTTGCAGAAGCCCTGCTCACTCTACCTATTAGATATATAAATCAGCTACTTGGAGTAGGTAACAAATCCAGTTACAGTTAAGTAACTGGATACAGGGTTACAGTAGCCAGATGCTGTAATGACATATGTATTCTGAAGTAACATCAGAAGGTACCTTAACTTTCCATGTGGTGAGTCAAGACAATTGTCGCTTTAAAATATGGCAAAGAGCAGATTTGACACCCCCGTTGATCTGTCTCTAAACACACAACAGGTACTGAGTAATACATCACAACAGCAACAAGCTTTCTGTTACTAATCCATCAGTTTATCTTAACTATAACTCAGAAGACCCTTAAAATTAACAGCCCAATATTCAGAACAACTTAGTCTTTTTCAAGGTAATGGTTGCAAATCACAGTCATTTGCCACATTTTTATTGATACCATTTGGATCCACAAGTCACTACTGAAGTCTGATCATTGCTTTCTTCTCAAGTGGAAGAACTACAACAGCTACCAATTCATAACTGAATTTCTGTCTCCCGAGCACAACTTCACCACTCTAACAACTTTATTCCTCCTTCAAGTATCTAAGATTTGACCTTAAACACATGCTGAAATATTCCCACTTGCAGAAGTATATGAAACAAAGTGCTTATGTGTATCTTTGTAGAAAAGGTGCCCACTAAATACTTGCTACTGTAGCAACACAAATGAAAAAAATAACAAACAAATCAGAATCTATAATACCAATCTTAACTCCTGCTTTCAGTAACTTACATTTAAAACATCTTACCTCACAAACAATAAGAATTTGGCAGCACTTACAAGTATAGATGCCATGTTGCTGAGAACACAGTTGCGTTGGGCAGGGCACGCCTCCAGGATGAAGGACCACTGCCTCCCTAAGATTGTGCTCTATGGTGAACTTGCCACTACCTGCCACAAGAGAGGAGCCCCAAAGAGGAGATACAAGGACTCCCTGAAACTTCTAGTAGATATGCAAAATCCACAGACACTAAAATGAGAAAGGTTGTCCTTGTCCTGGTGACTGCTGCAGGACAGTACACTCCCCTATTATCTTCCTCCTATTTCTTTTACTTCCTTGTTCTATTTTATTTCAGTACTGGCAGACTATGTGTTAACTAAATTAATATTGTATTTAAAATGAAAGATTATTTCACTCTGTACCTGTTGCAAGCAAATGAGTTAATCTGATATTAATTTTTAATTAACTCTCTATGTTGTGACCAAGATGAGAGACAGGAAAAAATTAACTTTATTAGTTTGTAGTTGCCTTTATGTAATACTAATTCTTCTGGTTTGATTTAGTTCACAGAGAGGTTTGAAACAAAAACTATCATTCAAAGCCAGTATACAAAAGTTATGGAAGATTGAAAGACAGAGTTTCAGCTTGACTTGTGGACTGCAAAGGCACATATGTACCAATGTAAAGGTCAAAATGTATCAATCTTGTTTAACTATTACTAGAAATAACAAGAGTACCTATTATTGAGATTGTTAAATTCAGTGTCCTCAGTCAGACCTGCAGCAATATTGTCTTTAATTCCTCTACAGTATTAATTTGCTAAGCTTGCTTACATCCTGACAGCCCTCAGAATGCACTATATTAAAACAAGTTATATTTTATGCAAGCACTATATTAGAAATATTGCCTGAAGGACAATGAGTAGTAGTTGTCCCGTAGGCAAAGATGAACAGAAACAACACCTACATAGCCCACCATAGTCTCAAATATCTAACTTTGAAACCCACCTCTCTTTAAAGCTTGAAGCACTGCATTAACTCAAGCCTTTCAAGAATACTGGAATAAATTCTTGCCATTAGGTGTCAAGTTAATTTGTTAACACATACAGAATTCATACACCTTGAAAACCATGGCTAATCATGCTGTCCCATCATGGAAATCCAAGTCTCCAAAATTAAATATATAGTTTTCCAAACAGACACAGTGTCTATTTTAATAAATGGTAATATTTCCAGCTTTGCTGCCCAAATTCTTCAAAACCCTATAGTCCCTTCTCAGTCTGTGCTTTCTCCACCATTTGATATTCAGCCATCTGCTCAGTGGGGAACTGAAGTGACTGAATTATTCCTCTCCCAAATTTTCTCTACAGATGGATTTTCACTGCCCATGTCTAACAGCAGCTCAGTGTTTGGCCTGACTACACTAGAAAGAAAAGGAAGGAATCCAAGTTGCTTGCTGCTACTAAAAACGCTGTAGCGCCTGCTACAGTATCTCGAAGAGATCTGCAAGACCACAGCACTATAAACTGGACTTACAGGAGAGGGGTGTGTCTCACATATATTTAGTATCAAATACAAATGAATAAATTGCTTCAGGAAGTCAGAAAAATATAGGAAACTACAATAACCATTAAGTAACTTCCAGAACCTTGGAAGAGACAACTGACTGAATTTAGGATAGCATTGCACGTATTTAGAAAACATTTTTAATCCCAGAAAGTTTCCTGCTACTGAGATTCTTCACAAACCACGGAGCTTGCACTGGCAAGGTAAAGTCAAAAAAGATGGCTTAAATTTGCCTTGCGCATCTGAAGTTTCAAAGCAGTTTGAAAAGCTGCGTGGTGTATTCATACAGAGATTTTCATGTTTACCCTGCATAAAATGGCCTTGAATAATGTAAACTGAAATACAGAAACAAGGATCTTACCTAGCCGTAGTTCTCCAAAATTACCGCATCCAATTTTTTTACCAACTCTGAAGTTAGGGCCAACCATTAACACGCCAGAATTTGAAGAACCAGTTCCACGTGTATTATGGCCTGATCTCCCACTAGGCCGTGCCATTCTTTCATCTGGCTTATCTTTGTCTTTCTTTTTATTCTCCATGTCAAGTTTACGGTACTCCACTTTGATTTCTTCCTCTTTTTAAAAAATCAGTACAAACAAACTCCAACTGGACAACGCAAGAATGAAAACATCATGAGGAAAGTGCCCAGCTGGTTACTGTCAGTAAGCAGTCAACAGCAACATTTTCATCCTGTTTGCAAAGCCTTGGTAGGATCTGTAGTAAAAACGTATCTCCGGAATGCACTACATCAGCAACATTTACTAGTATTTACAGGAATTCTGTTAAAAGAAAAATAAAGTTATTCTTGTACAAAATTATCTTTTCCTTCAACTAGTCACACAATTAAGCTACAACTAATTATATTTGCTTTACAGATCTATGAAAAGCACTTCTTTAAAATTAAAGCCTCTGATTCTAGGATGTAATAGCAAGAGATATTGGTGTGACTGAAGTGTGCTAAAAAATCTCAACACTTCATACATCAGATATTAAAAAAAAAAAAAACCACAACAACAAAAAAAACACCCTACAAAACTACTTCCTGAACAGATAAACACACTTAAAATTGACACTTAGACTCTCAATCCATCTTATGCCAGCTCTGCAAAAGAAAGCATTTTATTTAAATTTTTTTCCCCCTCAAGTAATATCTCTTGTTTTAAGAACATGCTCACACTGCAGTTATGGAAGTTATATAAATATATTATCTTTTCCAAATTAAAATTTCTGAGATGCACATTTATAAATCCATGGCAGGAGCACTTCAGTTCTTTCAGTAACTCCCAGAATCTAAAAATAAAATATATTTACTTATTCTACTCTACCACACTTAAGTCATAAATTTGCTTCCCCAGTCCCCTTCTCCACTGTTTAGCATCATTGACTCGACACTAATTCCTACACAAACTTCAGCAAAAACAGTGTTATCTTACTACTGCAATAAAGAATCCCAAGAAAACTTGGGATATTGTTTCCTATTTAATGATGTGAAAACACATAATCCAGAAGGTAGTTGGCTACTGTACAGGTAAAATTTCAGGACAAGTTAAATACCCGTCCAAAATTATTTTGCTATCTTTGCTTCAATGTTGGGAATACACTGCTGTAAAAGAAAACATGCTCTGAAAAAATGCATTTCATGTGCTACAGCCTATTTTAAAGGTAGTCACCAGGAGCTTATTTTAAATACTTTGAGTTGAAGACATTTCCATTTCTTAAACCCATTTCTCACAAAGTAGAATTATTACTTGCCTCATAGCTTACTACATTTCAAAAATCAAAGAGCAAGTAGAGAAAATATACCAAATAATATGAACAGACACCCGAATAATTGCATCTGCTGAATCATATGTACTCATACCATGATTAAAACTAAATGATATTTAAAAATCATTAATCAACAGCCAATTAACCTGTCACCTGAACAGTGAAGTACATGGAAGTTTGTTTGGCAAAGAATTTCCAATGACCACAATACTGTGAAAAGGAAGATGAAAGACTTGTTCTGAGAGCAACCAAAAAAAACAAATGCAGATTCCAGTCCAAGACAACTTGCTTAACGCAAGGGAAAAGGACTTCAGAGGTGAGGAATAAATGCAGTGGTGTGGTATGGTACAGACAGAAGCATTTAAGGGAAAAAGACAAGTACGTTAGGCTACTACATAAGCTTTCAGGTTTAAGCACCACCACCAGATACCCTAACATCACTTTCCAAACCACAGATCTCAGAGGAATAGACTCAATGGGAAACAACAGGTCATTCTTCCTCACCACTATTGTTACAAAAACTAGGGAAGAAATAAAACTAGACATTAAGTGTGTTGAGACAGAACTTCACAGGTACCATTTAGTTCTTAGAAAGGTCAGCACACCTGATGCAATAAAATGCATATATATATATTTTAAACACTGAAGAAAAAAATACTTATGTTCCATATTTTACTGGATATTCAATGAGAACTAACAATAAGCAATCCTCCATTTGCTTATACCAAATACTTTATGATCAACATAAATTTCAATTTCCAGAAATGCATCTATTATTTGGACAAATATATTAAATGCTAACTTATATCCTTCCCATTTCACTTACATTATGGGTATGCTCTCTTATGTAAACGGAAATTAGTACCTTTTATAGGATACCTGCTAAACAAACATCATAAGTCCCATACATTTTTCCCACACTAGATATTGAAAGGAAAACATGTAAGCATTCCTGTCACAGTTTCTCCAGGACACAAGGGTTCTCTTACAACATTTCCTAATAAAATAATCTGCAACTAATTTGAAATAAGTACAGCACTTATGACTTTCTTCACACTAAAGTTCCTGTACAACATTTTATGATGTATTTACCTTAGAAATACAAAAGGTTTTCATTTATTTATACTGCACTTACCTACGACAGTGTTATACTGTTGATGGGAATATCTTTTCTTCACCATAATGCTCACATTCTAGAGGAAAAGCACTAAAAGGCAAAGACATATGTATTTGTAGTATTTGTAATTACTTGGCATGTAAAAACTTCTGATACAAAATCCAAGTAAAGTACAACTTATTGGAATTGCATTAGTTTTCTTAGACTGTTAAGGAAAGTCCAGCAGATTTTTTTCATACTCAACATAATTTATAAGGCTCAGAAGTCAAACATCATTCAAAAGTATGCATCATCTAAAGAGAAAAAATAACACTGTAAATTACACAAATCCCTTTTCTTGATATGTGCTAGTTACATGGGTTGTATGGGTAATCTGTCCAAAAAAAAAAGCCATCCACCTCACAGCTTGATTTTCTGTTTAATTTTCATTTTTCATCTCTGTCAACATAAATGAGCACACTTGAACAATAAGTTTCAGCCCAGCACTAGGGAATATTGCTATGATGTAAACATTCTTGCTTAAAAAAATATGACTAAATATCAGTATAATGGCAAACACACCATCAAAGCCAAGTCATAGGAGTGAAATGACTATTATGTTCAAGTATAAAAAGAAAGAGAAGGCAAGGAAGTTATGAAAAAAAAAGTCAAAATAGTATTACATAGCAGGAAAACTAATTAGATCTTCATTAGAAACATTCCATATAGACTGAGGATAAAAAGTGAAACAAGACTAGAAGACCCGTAAGAAAGCAAGTAATATCAGAGTAACTAAGAAGCCCAACTAACATCAGCTACTAGAGGTCTTATTTTTCTGATGTAATTTGATACTTGCCCAAGTACCATAGAGAGATTGCCTGAAAAGCAAGGAGAGGAGGTGTGAAGACAAGTAAGAAAAGTGATGACAATGTTCCAGGTGACTGACAACAGTCACACACCTAACACCTGCAGAAGTGTAAAAGGAATCTCTAGCTCAGTTTTAGAAACACGAGATCAATGGCAAAAGATAGCCAGGTTACTGGTCCATATCAACACATAACTTAAACAGAGTATAGACTCAAATTTACTGGAATAAATTTAGCCACAAGACTGTAGTAATACCATCCCAAAACAAATACCATCCCAAAACAAATACCATCCCAA